TCACGTGATTGGTCAATTCAAATTATCAACATTGACACGGAAATATTCTATTGCACGAGCAACCAATCAAGGATAAGAAGAAAGTTCCAGTCGGAAAGCTTGCGGTTAGGGGACGTGTACAATTTACCTTGAGCGCAGCTGTCAACTAGATCGTGACGTAACGTGAAACTTTACAGTTAGCTGCAAACTATAATATTAAAAAAGGGATAAGATGCCAGAGCAAACAGAAATGTAACGATACATGCAGTGCTAACACATTGTACAACGATGAAAGAAAGTTATTACACCCTACAAATATGTTAACAAACAGGGATAGGTAACATAAAGAAGATACTAGGATGGTTGAAAAACTGATATAAAAAACTACCAGGAATAGTTTTTATTACATATAATCCTCTACAAATAGAAAATAAATCTCTATATTATGAGAATTATTCTAATTGTGTTAGCTATCTGAAGATTCCTGTGTAGTTTAAACCGTGTACAAAACTGTTAAGAAAAGGGGTAGTAAAAACAGTTCACAAAACCGTGAAGATGTGGCATTCTACAACGATTATTGTAAACATCAAATGAAACTGCCGGACATTATTCTCCAATAAATCACGAACGTCATCAAAAAATTATCAGATCAGAAACACGTATCAACCTTGAACAATTCAATTGCATGTTTGGCTGTAGAATGAAATACTTGTTTAGACCGCACCGATGTGTCGTCATTTGCAGTATAAACACTGTAAATTGCATCAAGTTGCTGATGAAGGTCGGTTTTTATAGCTAAGCGGGCTATTCCACGGACCTCCCTACACATTTAAACAACGTGATTTTAGTAAAACCGAAACATGATTTTGTTTCCGCATCTATTCATTAAAACTTATCAATACATATTACGAACAAATTTGTAATTCAAAAAGGCTATATTTAATGCAACGAAAGCTCAAATCGTCTGATTTCCATACATAGGTAAGTAAACAAAATTTCGCTCTGGTGTTAAATGGAACAGCGTTATCGAGACATGGTGACCTAATTCATTTCTCTATAGAGGAACCGATCAGCCGTATTTTAGCATGTTAAGCGATCTTTGTAGAATAGAAATAAAGTCCTTGTTGTCGTGAATGATGCAAGATAACCTCCTCGGTCTCGAAATGTTGTTTTAAATATATAAGTCTGGGCTAACGAGGATGTTATCCTGCAGCATTCATGAAAACGCGGACCTTATTTCTTAAATATATAATATCAGCAGAGTTGGATATCCAACTGATCAATTTTAAACATACAGTCAATATGATTCCTGAAAAATATTCAGAAAGGTATTTTACGAATATTATCATAGGGATTGTCTATTATGAGTGAAAAAGGAGATAAAGATATGGACCTTTCTTAACGCTTGATAATAATAGAGTCATACAAATGTATTTTCTAATACGAGTACAATAAGCTAAAGATTTCTGAATTTATTTTTTTTTTCATGTTTACTTATTGAGAATCTTAATTTTAAGTTAAAAATGATTAAATGATATTATGCTGGGGGAAAATAGATGATTAAGTTTTTGAGAGTACCATTAAAATCTGTAGAATGAACAACTTCCAATGTCAATGGTGGCGTAGTTACAGTCTCCGTCGACATCACTGGAGTCATCGATATGGAATCTGATGATGAAGACTGATTTATTTCTGTCGTGGAGGAGTATTGGTTCGTAGTGGAAGCTCTGTCTTTCGCCGTTGTTTGGTATGTTTCTGATGTCACTAAAGTAAACTTTTCAGTTGTAGTAAAATTCTGCACATCGACAGATTTTGTTGTTTGGTGTATTTCTGAAGTACTATCATAGTTTATAGTTGTAGTAATTTTCTGTTTTTCAACAGTTTCCGTCGTTTCTGATCGGTTCTTGATATCAATTGTTGTACTAGCAAGAAAATAATCTGTGGACTTGCTTGCTGTTGGGTTGTCTGTTGATATTACAGGCTCGTTCGATGAAGACGCAATTAAAGTTGTTGACCCTGATACTGTTGACATGGATGTTGGTGCTGTTGTGAATATGGTTGATAAAGCATTGTTTGATGTGCTCCATTGTTTAGTGTCTTGAAAATTTGTTGAGAGTTCTGTTAGAGATGAAGTAGAAGTTGAGGGAACTCTGAATTCTCCAGGACTGAAGCATTGAGCACTGAGTGTTGCTTGCTCTGTAATTAAAGCATGAAGAATATTTCATGGATATATTCTATTGTTATTCTGTATTAAAGTTGTAATTGTTGTATAAATCATGTATATGAAACACATTAAATAATATAATAAATGTCAAAATAGAAAGAGGGGAAAGAGAGAAACCAATAGCAACTCTCTTGAATTCTTAAAGAAAATACTACAGTCGATCAACTCAATATTTATCTTTTTTTAAACTAGGATTGTTTATAATAACCATTTCCTATTCAGTACATAGGAATCTTGAACAGAGCATGGCTCTTACAACAATTAGATATAAAATGACGTAGGTATTAATAATGCACTTTATTTTACTATGTATGATTTGATTCAAAAACATTTAACATAAACGCAAAATTCATTCCTGTATTAACAAAAGAAATTATTTTATTGCCTGATCCTTTCCTGGTGTGCTTACCGAATCTCAATGAGAAAAGGAAACAGAACCCAGTGGACCAGGTCTGTGATATATTGCTTAGCGTTAGAGTGATACTAGAGTGCCTGGGTAAGTGATACTCCGTATCCACGACGTGGTGACAATGGATGTCACGGATCTCTTCCTGATTATTGTTTGACAGTTTTACTTTCAGTCCACAGTTGGCTGTCGGTAATAGAGAGGTCTCCTGCTTCATGTAGAGTACGGAGGTATTGTATGTACTCAATACCTTGATCTCACACATGCAATGACTTGATACGCTCTCATCACGGGGAAGGTATGCATCAAGAATTAAAAAGGTATTTGATTCTTTCATGTTGTCTGTGCAAAATGATAGAACTGCAAAGAAGGTAAAAAATGTAATTAAAGAAAAATATTTATACATCTGCCACCATGACTTAGAAGCATACATGTTTATCGACTTTAGGTCATAGTTAATTGGCATTGAATTTATATTAAATGCCTTCCTGGTTCGTGACAATTACCTTACCTGGTAAAGACCTCTCCTGTGCAAGTCCCTGGCATCTGTTTTCATTTGTATTCCCTAATTTACCTATGGAAACGAAGTAAAATAACGTAGTCAGTGGTATCAATATCTCTTTCCAATTAGACACAAGATTTAAATAATCAAGAAATTGTGTCAAACAACCGACATACATGTAAAAAGTGCGTAAGTGTTATCATATGTAATGACATGATTCACACCGAAATATGAACAAGTAATTATGATACATGTAACAGTCATATCTTCTACAGGTTTAAACATTTGGATGCCAACTATTTCTTTTCAATTATTCACCAATTTTAAATCTTCTTGTTAAATATAACACGATTTAAAAACATTTTTTCTATAGGACAAGATATGTAAAAAATGGTAGTCTAAAGAATATTGAAACGAGAATCCCAATAAGTACTGATGTACTTACCGTAAGTGAGGAGAAGGCAGATTACTGTCCACCCTCTGACTTTGGTAGCCATGGTCGATACTACCTGCCTCTTAACATGCCTAAATCTATCAAAGAATTTGACACATCGACTGCATATTCTAAGTAGGGTTGACAATGGGTAGTTTATTTCACTTTGACGAAAATTTGATATATAAGGCTGAGTATTGATACATTCTATCATGCATGCATAATTCAGGATTTAAAGCCCCTTTCCATTTTATGCCTGTGTGTGCAGTGATACCTGATGAAATCGGTTTTATGGAAAATAAGAAAGGTTAAGTGTCCATTTCAGTTCTTTTCAGAGTTCTATTTCAGATATTGATCTGATAAGGGTCGCTTTAGTTTTAAAATAAAGAAAAAACAAAAAAAAAACTTATTTTTTTGCTACATTTCAGACGATAAAATCAATTTGCATAACCTTTCGCTCTTGCGATGTTATTAATTTACAGAACAGCTTCGGCAATATAAAGCAATCTTTCTGATAAAGTTTGTTTCCTTTTATAAGTTTTTTTAGTTTTCGGTCGACTTTGGGACGTGTAAAATTGTAAAGCTGAACCTTGCACAGTTATCAGTAAATGAACAGAGAACGACGACCTGGTCACCTGCGGGCGTTCGTCAGGTGAAGGAAATAAACAGAAGGAAAATCAATATATTTTCATTTATAAAATTTGTTCGATTACTCATAATATGAGTATACATGTACAGAGTTTACATATTAATTGTTAATATAAAGTAAAAAAAAAAAATTATACAATAATGCTTTATGGTAATAACTTTAGGTGAATAATGAAAATATACATTCATGTCTTGTAATTTAAAGAATCCCATATACAAATAAATCCACAACACACGTCTGAAAATTCTACAATAACAGTAAAAAGCATATAAATTCGGACATATTTGTTCCAAATGTATGCATTTAATTTTCTCTCATTTAATTACACATGTGATTACAAAAAAATCATAAAAATTGCTTAACTGCAAAAATTGCACAATCAGATAAACAAATAACTTATGATGTCATGATTTTTTGAATCTTCAAATGAAAATTTTACCCTGACTTTCCCTTGCAAACGCATGAATGATGTGTACAAATAAAATGAGAGCACCATATGTATTGTAATGCTGATAATAACAATAGTTGCCATTAAGATAAATTCTATTTAATTCTTCATTCAATCGAGTTTTGTGACGTGAAATATTTTCTCCATCAGTATGATATACTGGTTGAATGAGAATATTTTCCAAGGCAAACACCTTTGATCATGATGTAAATGCGTACTGTTAATTCAAATGGAGTCAATGTACTACTAGCATCTTATATATCACTGAACAGAGTACATTACTATTGAAGCTGCTAAGGTTCTGGGGTTCAGAACAAATTCAACAACTCAGTTCTATTAACTTTCGCAATTACTACTTGCTAGAAATAAATATCAGGTCCGTTTTGAGTGCCTTTATTGACAACAGCGTACTTTGGAATATTTCCACTCGCCCGGTAATCTTTCACATTATATCTAACAAATGGTCCTTCTGTTAAGTTGTGGGGTTGTACGTGGGATTCTACATCATCTAAGGTAGTGTTTGATAAAACAATACCATCTATTTCAATTTCCTCGGGAATTTTCGTAAACTCTGCATTAATGTCAGGTCCCTCGTCATAAGCATCATAACCAAAGTTTGTTTCTCCCATGGATGGATATTTATCAATGGAGATGTTCTCATTATCTTTAGGATACTTTATCTCTCGGCTTCTGGAATACAAAGAAAATACAATCTGAGGCAAATGTTTGGAGTTCTTAATAAGTTAAATATAGATAATCAAGACTTCGACGAAAACTCATCGTGTCAGGTGTGTAAATTTTTAATATTCGGCGTATTTGAAATTTCTGAAACATTTATACCTACCTTTGGCATTTGATGAAGGCAAAAACCAATACAACGAGAAGTATTATTCCAAGTAATATTGCTGGAATTATTCCACTCCCTAAAAATTTAAAACGTTCATAAGATAACAAAGATATTTTTAAATATTTGTACAATTATGGCTCTCTCTATTATTTACCCTATTACGTAATGAAAGGTTTCGAGAGAACTGCAAGCACAAAATGCAGTGAAATGTTTTATCTCCTGTCGTTATCCTTTTATTTTCACACTTTTATCAATTGTTTAGCATACTCTTTAACTTCTCTGAAATGTTTGGTTGTCTGTAAATCTGTGATTAATAATTGAGATTATATCAGTCAATGTCTTCATTTACATAGAAGAATTTTTGAAATGTTAATATTATATCCATACGTACATGGAGTCCCCCGCTCCGGAAGGGGTTTACTAGTTGTTACAAATGGCGTCGTTCTCTTTGTAGTGGTACTCTGGATACCGTCGGTAGATGTCAATATTGCTGATGATGACGTTGACGTCACTGGTTGTTTTGACACCTGCTCAGTAGTTGTTGAGGTCAAGTTTTGCGTTGTTACAGACTTTGAAGTTTGAGATCGAGCTGTTGTCGAGTCTGCCACGTCTTTCGTTGTTGTGAGAGCTGGGGTTTGAGTGGGAGCAGTTGATGATTCTATGACGTTATTTCCAGTGGTGGACTCTGGCCTATCCTTAGTTACGTCATTGTCAGTGGTCTTGTCTTCAGTGGTTGTATCTATTTCTGTGGTAAGACCACTAGTGACAATATTTGATGTAGTGGTTAAAATTTCAGATGTGGTCACTGTCTGGAATGAAGATGAAGTTGTCACAGTGTCTATTGAAGTAGCTGCCGTTGTCATTAAAGCTCCAGTTGTTGCTGCCTGGGATGACGCGGGTAAGGTTTGAGAAGCTGTTGTTGAGAGTGATGAGGTGCTTTCTTCTGTTGGAACTGACGATTGAGTTGATGTTGATAGACTTTGTGAGGCGGTTGATGTTGTGGTTGTAATTTGTGCTGTTGTTATAGGTGATGACAGACTTGTGTCCGTGGTTGTCTGACTTCCAGTTGTCAGGGAAGATGAAGAAGTCTCTTCCTGCTCGGTTGTTGGAGGAAATAGTGTTGTTGTTGAAGAAGGTAAAGTGTCTCCTTCACAAGAGATGTTTAGCATGGCAGATGAATCAGCTTTAAAAACATAAAAAATATCTTCAGTGCAGTTCACAAGTATATATATTACCATAACTTGTCAATATGTATTAAAGCCTTATCATTATTTAAAGTGAAGTATATAGATTTGAGAAGTGAAGCATATAGACGTGTTTTCATATTGTATTTTATGTTATAACTTTAATAAATGAAGCACAGGTCTCATACAAATGTTTTAGCCGTTTCATTGAAAAGATTTTGTGGAATTCTAATGTTTACCTGATTCAACAGATATACAGTAACTTGTGTCGGAGGTTAGCCGTGGATCCTCTAGATTAATTTTAACATCTGACCCATTAATTTGAAGCTGCTTGTCAGTCACAAAACAGTTCATTGAAAAACTTGTACCATCAGCTTGAACTATTACAGAACTCCCACACCCTTTCTCAGGATGGACGCCGTTGTAGTTTGTGAAGTTCAGTGTATTAGGTTTATCACTGGACACTGTACATAGACAGGTTGTGGTACTAGATTCTTTGGCTCTGTAAGCGTCTATGACGACGTGACGCCCTAATATCTGGTTGTTGTAACATAAAAGGGCAACTGGAAAATACGTAAACATTTATGTCAAAATCAATGGGGAAAATATTTGTTTTATCAGTAGTTAATTTAATTTTAGTTATAACAAGTCATTTGAATGAATAAAAAAAATTATGTAATATCGTGTAACAAGTTGGTTAGCCACATATTTAGGTCTTTTAAAATATGCTCAATCAATTTGAAGCCAATTTTAGAGGAAAAATTGTGTTATTGTCTACACTGAAATTAAATTATATATATATATGAGAATGAGGCTTATTTGTACCTATGTTGTACGATACAATATAACTTAGGCCAGTTCATGCGGCGAAGCGGTTTATAAAGCGTAAACTGATCCTAGTTAGGTATAGGTTCAAATAAGCTTCATTCCTTAAATGTTTGGAAGCTCCATCAAATCAAAATAAAAGTTTGCATTTTACCTGGAATTGAGTTTGTCTTTGCCATATTATAACAGGGGGAGTAACTCCTCGCAAAGCCTAAAATTAGAAATTTTGATGTTATTTTAAGATCTTGTTTACAGTGTGCTTTATTCATTTCTACATGTGCAGTTTTCTTTTAGTAATGCATTTGTTGTTATATTTCTATGATTTGCAGAGAGGATGGTTATGAAATTATTAATTGCATAACTTTTATTTGATTTTTTTTTTAAAAAAGCACATCAGAACATCCGTGTACAGATGAATATTATTAAACAATAATTATTTAGATTACTTTGCAAATATTAATGGTACATGAACAATGTAATTCAATCTGTATGCACAAATCTATTAAAGTGACGCATGCTAGTAACTTCGATTCTAAACATTTTAGGCCTAGATCAATTAATGTTTTAGTCTTGAAATTTAGATTTTTTTTTTTTTGCAGTGAATGATGAAAATATTTCCTCAAATGACTTGTTCTACGTATACTTTATTAGCTATGTCATCTTTCTTGATATAGTATATATGTAGAATGTACAAATTTTATTTGAAAAAAATTGTAACGGCTTTTCATAATTTGTATCCTTCTGAGATATCTTATACGAGTACATGTATGTACACCATCTCACTCATTTGCCGAATGTGGACACCAAAATAATACGGGCTTCATTTTAAGCTAACAACGGGATGGGCAAGAGACGGTTGAGAAGAAGAAAACAGAATTTTTAGGGTGAAGATAGATAGGTATACGTACATGTAAATAGATTGTTTTTCTTTCTTTTCTTAAATATCCTTAGGAAACACGACTCTCCTTATCCAAATGGACATTATTTATGTACGATGTGTTTAATTTTTTTACTTCATTGATGTTTTTAAAGGAATGGATTGTTTTGATAAATACATGTATGTGTATATAAAAAGAGTGATGGATTTGTAAATATAATGTAGAAATTCCTGCTTGAAAGACAAGAAAATTTAATGCATGGGTAACATGAGAGTAAATGGATCGTCAGTTTATTCACACAAAACTGTAATATAAACCCACAAAATTTATTGAAATCCTTGACACAGACATAAAAAATATGTTACTCATATCTTTAATTTATTCAGTATTCGTCTATAAACCTTATTTTCAGAGATACTTAATACAAAGGATTGAATGTTTTATAAAAAGCAATAAATAAGGAAGTACGTTTTTTTGTCCGTCGATAAATATTATTCCTATGCTTTATACAGGATCCTTATTTATACCTGTGTTTGGCCGACATTAAATTTTATACCCAGCTGATAGTCAATAATTACAACAGATGGTACGGTAATCTTGAATAAGGATTACATCGATTTTAGGCTCGTCCTTCTCTGCATTGTCGTTTGTTTATCTCTATTTACATTTTAAGTCCAAAAACATTACATCTTAAACCCAAATAGCAGCAAAAATTATTTGAAATTATTGTAAATGTCATCAAGCCGATTAGTACGCTCTTCTTTTTTTTTCTGAAAAAAGCATTATTGAAATATACCTCAAAAATGATAATTTAAATATATCACTGGGGATGTACATGTATTATCTATAAAATGACACTTTAGACGAATCGAAATTGAATTATATTAAAAACGCTAAATTGAGTACGTTTTGTTTCATGAGTACACGCACATACACACGCAGCAAAAAACCCAAAATATTATGTATACAAAATAAGAGACAAGTTTTCACTTTTTTTCTGATATTTGATATTGGCTATTTTTTCCTTATGGGACGATATGTGTAAGTTGATCAAGTGGTTAACGAAATTAAAAATACAACAAACCTGCAAATATTAATACAGTACTTATGATCCATAATTCCTGGTTTCCTCGTTGCGCCATGGTCCGTGGATAAGATAGTTTAGTAGGGTAGCCGCCCTGTGTCGTGTCATCACAAATTTTACGTTCTTTTTGAAACTTAATCGTTTCTCGGCCACACCGCTCCTAAGTTTTCGGTATTTCAGTTATTTCATTTCCTTTTGATACGGAGATGAAAACAATAAACTTCTTCCGTAAATAAAATTTTGGTACTAAATTCTCATCTCATTACACATTTAAAAGTTTCTATACAGAGAAATTTAAAACAACCCGTGACCGTGGTTTTATTAGTAAGTTAAATGTAAGGTCATTAGACATTAAGGGAGAAGTATGGTGTATAACTGATATCAGACAGGCAACAGATCGGAGGGAAGCCGGCCATGTCATTTTTTAACAATGGCAGCATGTTACTTTAACGAATGAGTGAACACAGAAAAATCGAAGAGATAATAAATTAACTTTTATGTCGCTCTAAACCCATTACAGTGTATATGTACATAAAGAAAGGGCGTCGCCCTACCCCCACAATAAAAGAGTTTACAAACATAAAACGAGAATTATGTCCCTATTTACCGTTATTGCAACAAAAAGAGTTTACAAACATAAAACGAGAATTATGTCCCTATTTACCGTTATTGCAACAATTTCCTCCTATAAAGTTAGTCTAAGTTTCAACATGTTCAATTTTTTCTCGCTTATAAAAAGAAAATGTCACATGCCTTTTATTCAACTTCTAAATTTAACTTAATTTTCAAAAAAAAATTATATACATAAAAAGATACTAGCAATAAATTAGCTGATCATAATCAAGAAAAAAAAACCAATTAACTTTGACAAGTTTAAAAGTTTTTATAGTCCTACATGCTAAAATGAACTACATGTATAATCTAACGAACTCAAGATTGAGGCAGAAAAAATTTCTTCGAGTTATCTTTCTTGGACGTGATTTCCAATCTTTATTGAGACATTCACGGGAAATATTGATCCAGATATCTCGGAAATGTAAGAACTCAATTCCAGGTTACATTTTACTGATAATTTTTATCCTGACTAACAATCACATGAACTGTATGACATTTATTGGTTGATGGAATCATTAATTACAAAGAAGTCCCAGAAAATTAAATAATAACGATTCCTGATCTTACCATGCACATCAAACATGTCCCAAGGTTGTAGGGAGGTTATGCATTTGAGATCGATGGAAATTGTAAATTATGCGCCCGAATCGATAGATCCGGTGCGTATATTGTTTTTGTCCTGTCTGTCTGTTTGTTTGTTTGTTTGTTTGTCTGTAAACTTTAACCTTTGCCATAACTTTCGAACCATGAAAGATAGAAACTTCATATTTGGTATACATACGCCACTAAGTAAGGTCTTTTAAATGACATCAAGGTCAATGGAATTTTGACCTTGACTGTGACCTTTATGCTAAAAATAGCTTTTTATCTGCAAACTTTAACCTTCGCCATAACTTTTGAACCATGAAAGAAAGAGACTTCGTAATTGGTCTGCATACTCCACTAATTAAGCCCTTTCAAATGACATGAAAGTCAATGACCTTGTGACCTTTACTTTGACCTTTATCCTAAAAATAGTTTTTTCGTACCTTTGCCATAACTTTCGAACCATAGAAGATAGAGACTGCATATTTAGTATGCATACTCCACTAATTAATCTCTTTCAAATGACACCAAGGTCAATGACCTTGTGACCTTGACTGTGACCTTTATGCTAAAATAGTTTTTTTCGTAACTTTGCCATAACTTTTTAACCACAAGAGATATAGAGACTTCATATTTGGTATCCATACTTTACTAATCAATTTCTTTTAAATGATACCAAGGTCAATGACCTTGACTGTGACATATTTGCTAAAAATAGCTTTTTAAAAAAAAAATTGTTGCCGCCGGGCGCATAGTGTTTCACAAACACATCTTGTTTCATTATTTTTTTTAAAGATACATTACATGCACATGTCCTCATGAATCTTCGGAAATTAAATTCACTTCTTAAGTAAACTTGCATATACATGTAATTGTTTTAATAAATGAATCAAAATCATTTAAATCTATAAACAATTCAAAAAGATAATGATTTTACTATTAGATCTTACATGCTATAAATCCTAAATTGAAATGAATGAAAGAAAAACTCACATTAATGTGGTCTTATTAAAATTAAAATGGATAAAACATATAATAACATTCAGTATGATATGAAATTTCTTTATAATATCTATTTTGAAACCTACACTGTAGTCAGTTTTTACACTTTACTTTGACACTGCTAGGCAAAATACACAATACAAACTACATGTAAATAAATATATTAATTTTCGATTAAACTAAACCTCTGTATCATATTTGTCAACACGATGAGGCGCTATTTTAGGGCCGACAACATCCGAAATTAAATATTAAGCAATGCTTATATAATTCTGTTTACTTGTTGAGAGCATTTTACACTTCAGAAACAAATATACCTATATATAAAATTAAACTTGATACAAATCGGTTTTCATTATAAATTGTAGAATAAACATTTTCAAATGTAAAAATATAATTACATCCTTATGAAAAAAATTAATGGTTGCATGAACACTTAATGGCCTGGTTCAAAATAAAACATCAACTTCACTTGCTTCAAAGAAAAGACAAACAAATTGTTCCACCATTTACTCAATACACTACGTCTGCCTCTGTGGTTTGAAGGTTCTGGTTTGCTGATTTATCTACTTGTGAATACACGGCATCTGACGATAATGGCTGATTAATCTGGTTTGCTGATTTATCTACCTGAGAATACAATACGTCAGTGACTGGTATGTTTTCTTTTGCAGATTTATCAACCATGGCGTACATTGGAGCATCATTGTTGATTGGTTGTCGTACATTATGACGTATATAAGTTCCTTCACTTAGATTGGTTGATACAGACACATTATCTCTGACGTCATCAATCACGATCGTGTTTATTTCCGTCGATTTAGTGGACGTTGAGATTTTACTGGTCATTCCTGGGCCAGCATAATAGTCAGGAGAGTATGGTGAATTTGCTTTGTTTTTAAATGCATATGAATCATTCCCATGAGTATACGTGTTATTGCGTTTTTTCCTGTGGAATACAAAAAATTCAGTCTATGATATTATTATGCAATTGTATAGTTTGAGAAGTTGTGTTCCCTTTCTCAAATGATATTTGCAATGGTAACATCTTAAAAAAACACTGTTAAACTAAGGGTGTTATTTTGGCCCCACCAAAAGCTTAGGAGTTCTTAATAAAGAAACAAACTATATTATTATTTCCATGTTAAAATGTACATGTATATAATACATAAAATACAAATTGTAGAATTACGAGATTTCATTATCAGTACCTTTGGCTGTAACAGATTGCTAAAATTATGGCAACAACAACGATTACACCAGCTCCGATCACCGGAATGATGTAACTCCCTGTAAATAAAGAAAAGAGAAAATTAATTAAGGTTTCGTCAAAGGTCAACATGTCTAAAAAATTATTTTTACAATAGCTCCAAAACTATGTGTGGTATAAAGTCAAAACGTTTACAGTTTATAAATATATCATTGATCAATAGATAGAAAGTATCACTTGATAACAAATGTTTTAAAAAAGATTTTTTGGAGAAAAATTGTATCAGAAAATGTGCATATTTTTAAAAAATGCACCTGCTTAATTCATTCTGGCCTTTTTGTGAAAACCATCATTGCAGAAATAATATATGTTTATCATTGAAGGGCAAGTAGGACGTGAATGGTCTCTGAAAGGCTGTTATTGAAAGCATGACATGTATAAAGTCAAGACCCCTATAGAATCCGCCATTTGCAATGTACTTTCACTTTCAAGTCTTAACATTTGGACAAAATAAACAGGGAAAACAACTTTCCAGAGTCCAACTTGCCCTTCATTAATAAACATATTTTGTTTCTGCAATGATGGTTTTCATTCAGAGGAATTAATATGGTGTATTTTTTGAAAATATATGCATTTTTAAGAAGAATTTTTCTCAATTATTATTTTTTCCAAGTATTTTTTTTATCAAGTGATACTTTCTATCTGTTAATCAATGAAAAATTGATAAACTGTAAAATTTTAACTTTATACCTCATATAGTTTTGGGGCTATTGTAAAAATAAATTTTTGAGCATGTTGACCTTTGACGAAACCTTAAGTACATGTATACATGTATATCAATTGCAAGTTTTTAATTTTCCTTCTCATAGGCAGTTTTGAGTTTGTTAGTATACAAAGCTTACATTACATGTTCGGCTTTATTATTATGCTCTAGCTGTATAATTATATGTAATTAATTGATAACATTTCAGTTTCTTTTCCGTAGATCTAAGACCATACGGTACATCTATAAACAGTATAAGTTGAGCATAATTTCATTTTGAATAACTATTAAATAAATAATTTCAAAAAATAAATCTTAACTAATCAGTATGCATCTCACCAAAATGACTCTTTTTTTTATCTTTATTCAATCGGCGTTTAGCAAAGCCCTTGCATATTGGACAACCTTTTCCCGACTGGTTGATGGGCAAAACTTCACACCTACAGTATGCGACTTATAAACCAGTAGTAAATGTGTCTCTACTGAAATTAAATGTTAACACCAACGACTAAATATATTTCTTTGTTTAAATCTATATAAGGGTTTGCATAGAGTTGAATACCTACCGTATATATATATAAAGATTAGTGGTTAAAAAGGTATTAATAATATGTAAAAGTTGTAAATAAGTGTACTGTAATTTGATTGCACGGCGGTTTGTCAAGTCTCCTGCCTATTACTAGCGAATACGCAGTTACCCGTTGTCATGTACATTTTGTTAATTTTCAGCTTATCAGTATCCAGGAATATGGTCAACGAACACAACTGATGAAAAAAAAAACGAAGGATAGCTCAAAATCTTACGCAATGTGAAAAGAATCAGTTTGGCGAGAGGCATACCATAGAAGATCATGCATTGTTGTCTTACATTCAGAAGTCGAGGCAACTGACTCTCCTGTATTAGCTTCTTTCGTCGTTGTTAAACCAGATGTACGCTTAGTTGTGGACTGTGTTGTTTTCTCTGCTGTAGTCTGTTTCTGTGTGGTCGTAGATTGTGTTGATACTTGTGGAGATGTGGTTGTACTACTTGTTGTTGTTACTGTTGAAGTTGACGTTGGTTTTGTTGTCGTTGACGTTGGTTTCGTTGTCGTTGACGTTGGTTTTGTTGTCGAGGTTGATGATGTAGTCGCTGTAGTTGTTGTTGGAGCTAATGTTGTTGTTGTTGTAGCTAATGTTGTCGTTGTAGGTCTGGCAGTAGTTGTTGATGTTGT